TTAGTGTGATTACTTTGTTTAATCAAATATAAAAATATATATGTTGTAGTAATTTCTACACCAATTTATTAGATCTTGAAAAATAAAATGTATAGGCTCTAAACTATATGCTATTATTTTGAACAATGATTTTTTTCCCCCTTAAATTAAAAAATGTTCACAAACATAGAACATTTTTAAAGGGGCGGGTGCATAGTACAATTTTATAGCATAATCAAGTAATTATATTTCTTTCAGTGCTGTATGTATCAAACTTGACTTTAACAATGTAATTTCACAATTTGACTGCAGCTCCAAGGAGGAGCTATGTGGGGGCAACCATTGAGAAACCCCTGAATGGTTGCCACGGGAGGGTGAAGGATTTCTCAAACATGCAAATAATCAAAAGCCACACTCCTTGTATGTTTATGATGAGAATGTAACATCAGAACATGATGTTGATTTTTACATAACTCATCTTCTTTAAAAATATATTTTAAAGCTGGTATCACTAAACAGACGAAAGTAAAGCACATTAGAATCGGAACCTTTCTCCTTTAGACATTGGTGTGTAAATTAGACGTACAATTCAGCACCATGGACAAAGCTGCATAAGACAAGAGTGCTGTCCAAGGTACTGAACTCACTAACAATTATTGAATTCATTTTGAACACAATTCTTCTATGAATTGGTTTGTATATGCTTCTTCTTTTATTTTTGACATTGTTGAATTACATTATTTTTCTCTATTGATGGTTATAGTTAATGTCAGGATCTTAGTGTGTGTGTTTACTATTATTATTATTATTATTATTATTATTATTGTCATCGTTATCATCATCATTATTATTGTTCTTGTTATTGTTTTGTAGCATTTAGAATTTGTTTTGAAAATCGAAATTGCGGAATTTATATGCTTTTCCGTTTTTTTATGGTGACAGTTATTATATCCAAAAATTAATAATTTTACCTGTTGTCAAGCACTATAAAACTCCGGACAAATCCCAATCACAATTAAAACTATATGCAATTGCTTCCAATTGTGCTGTAGTTATTTCAGGGGTGTTAAAAACTAGCATAAACACCGAGTTTCTTGCATAAGAATTGCGAAATACATATAAGCCGTAATATCAGCGCAGACAGCAGAAATATATTGGTTTTATTTTCGTACAGGCTGTTGTGGTTTATGCTCACAATACGGCGACATGTTGCCGATCGCTTCAACCTTATGCTCTTTAACATCGACGCTCCCGACGCTGTGCAGATCGACGCAACTGAATCCAACGGAGAACAGACACGCCCAGCTTGCCCTGTGACGTAACAGTCAGCATCGTCACAACGTTCGATCACTGAATTCCAAAAGGCCGTCGTTTGAACAGAGTTCAGACTTTGCAAGAATGTTTAGTCCTGTCGCAATCACTCTGAGCAAAAAGCATGGAAGGATGTTTAGTTCTGACAAGATTATTTTGAGCCAAAAGGATGTAGGGATGTTTAGTTCTGAGAAGGTCCTCTTGAGGAAAGATTCATTCAAATGGAAGGAGCATGCCGTTATCCACAGTAAGTTTGACTCATATTTGGTGGAATATAAATTAGGAGAGGGCAGTTTTGGGAAAGTGATCCGCTGTAGGAACCTTCACACAGATGAGCTCAGGGCCATCAAGGTTCTAAAGCGAAACACCAACGCAGGCAAAGCTGAACTGAAAGCGTTAAAAGCGATAAGACAGCTCGACGCTGACAAGACAAACTTGATCAAGTTTTACGAAGGGTTCAATTACAAAGGACACAAGTGCCTTGTTTTTGAATTTCTGAGTAAAAGCTTGTATGACTTTTTCGTGGATAGGAAACTTCTCCCGCTGCACGTGTCTGAAATAAGGGTCATAGCTCAACAGCTGTTAGTGGCTCTGGATGCACTAAAAAGCATCGGCATTGTTCATTGTGATATCAAGTCAGACAACGTAATGCTTGTGAACCACGAGTTGCATCCATTTAAGGTGAAGCTTATAGACTTTGGCAATGCCATGAGGAGATCCACGTTGGAAAGGGTTGAGATGATCCAAGCCCTCGGCTACAGAGCCCCTGAAGTGGTGCTGGGCCTGCCCCTGGAAGAGGGCGTTGACATGTGGGCTCTTGGTTGTGTTCTGGCCCTGGTTTTCATCGGAAGGCACATGTATCCCGTGCAATCTGAATACGAATTCATCAGAGTGATAACAATGCTGCACGGTTTCCCGGAGGACGACGTTCTCAGGAAAGGGCTGAGGGTGAACACTTTCTTTACCTTCACTCAGGATTCAGTTTGGAAACTGAATACGAATGAGCAATATCAAAAACTAACGGGGAAAAAAGTTGTCAAGCACAGTTGTATTGACAAATATATAAAGACTTTTGATGAATTGCCAAAGCTGCACCCAGGACTGGATGATCCTGTTGAAGAACGAGACACACAGGCTTTCATGAGCCTCCTAAAGCGAATGCTGAATGTCAATCCAGCAAAAAGGATCACCCCAAGTCAAGCTCTTGGCCATCGTTTCATAACCATGTCACATCTTTCGTATACAAGCAAGGGGCCGTACGTATCTTTGGCCCATGCAAACATGAGAGAGTCACAGCTCAAGGAAGCAGAGGTTGGAAGGTATAAAACATCCAGTGAAAATCTGTGCAGATTCGATTCAGCTATTTCATGCTTTGACCACCAACTTGAAGAGGATTATGAAAACGAGGAATGCATGTTTTCAATAAAAGCTGGGAGGCAGAACACAGAAAGCCAAACTTACCCAGGATCACAGGGAGAAATGGTAAAAGGGCTCGAAGCATCTCAGAAAATGGTGGCAGCTTTACAGCAATACAAAAAACTGTCATGCAAGAAAGGAAGAATTCTGATCCATGTGAAGCCCCACATGTCAGCTCAGGAAACACCTATCAGGAAACAAATACGACCAGCAAAGCTGCAGATGAGTGTTTACAACACTAAGCAGCCCAGTTCATTAAAATGTGGAGCTAAGGTAGATAAAGCATCACCAGAAGATGTCAGCAGTATGTCAACACCTTGTAAAGGACCCACAAAATCGGAAAATGAAGATAAAAGCCTTTCCTTCTTAGCTGAGAATTACTTTGAGAGTGCTGAGGTAAAACTAAACGAGAACTGCCCAAAGACGATCCTGAGTTTCTTTTCCTGGATATTTGAGTGCTGCAGAGGAAGCGAATGATTCAAAAGCCTCACGGTTTCACAAAAATAAACATCAATTTGTGATGTACTGTATGTTCAGTTGGTGCTATATAAATAAAATTTCAACTCATTTTATTTGTATAGCAGTAACTGAAAAGAAAAGCTATTAAACAGGGATTTTAAAAGGTATTTATTAAATTAAATTGAATTTAAATTGAATTCAATTTAAATTCAATTTAATTCAATATAAAACACAAGATATTCAGTATATACTGCATATTTTGTATCATATATTGTATTTATATAAAATATAATAAGACATTAGAGGAGTTCAAGCAGAAACTATAATGGACTTTTTATTAAAGGTTCCTAAACCAGCATGCTCCACTCACTCACTCACTCACTCACTCACTCACTCACTCACTCACTCACTCACTCACTCACTCACTCACTCACTCATATTCTCTTACAACACTTTCAAGATGGAAAATCAAGCAGGAAGAGGAAAAGTCTTGTGTAAACCTGCTTCTTTCTAACTTTCACTTTTAATGGTTATTTTCTTAATTCTGGTTAACTCTGTTTTCTAACTCAATACTTGCTGTTATAATTATTTAATTACCTTTATAGGTATAATTCAAGGACTCTAGTAGGTCCTGGTTTTAAATCTGGAGATAGAAATCTCCAGATTTACCTGGAGGAGGGAGTCGAGGATGAGGAGCTGGGTTCCTCTGTCCTAAATGAGAACTGGCTCTCCTGGATTAATAACAGTTAATAGTAGAAGATTTCAAGATTCTTCTAAAGCCTTTGTCACTGTTAATTACATTATTTTACTAAAGGTTTAGTTTTTTATTTTATTTTTTCTTACATACTACTCTCCATGAATAACTTACACAATACATTAGCCGACAGTATTTTATTTCTTGGCCCTCAAAGACTAAATGTAATGTTTTCATAAACTGTAAAGGAAGAAATCGTCACCATTAACAAAATAAACGCTTTAAAACATGGACTCCCAAACTTTTCCTTGCCAGGAACCTCAAAAACAGCATCAGATTCTGGCCTCCTTTGTAAACCCACAGACAGTATGTAGAGAAACATGAACATAACATTTTCTCACTTTTATTCAATATTCAAAAATAATTACATCTGTTTAGCATAAATACTGCCTCTTACTTTGTGATTTTAGTTAGTGAGGAGTTCTTAAAGTTTTTCGAAGCAGCCAGTCTTTTTCTTATCAGAAACTGTCAGTCGTGTTGTCCCAGCTTGAGGAGCAAAGCATCTTTATAAATTTGATTGGCAGCCAGTCACAAAGATGAGGATGGCAAATAACATTGAAATAAATAATTAAATATGTCATAATAACAATAATACTAATGTAAAAGTAGACTAGATTGTATGAATAAAAATTTACCTCTAAATTTGCCTAATTTTGAAAACACTGTTTTAAAACAACAGTCTGTGTGTAATTAATTTAAATAACATATTTTACTTGTGTGTTGAATTACTGAATTACAGGAACTTTTCAATAATATTATAATTGATTGAATATGACTGTATATACCAATTCAAACTTTACAGAACTACTCTATAGAAATTTAATTTTGAATAAGAAGGTATTTTAAGTTTTTGTCCTGATTAAAATATTAGAATAGGCCAAATGTTCTCATGTTTACATCAGAATTAACCGGCCTGTCTAATGCTTTAAGTGGGTAATGTCTTTTAAATATGGACACTGAAGATGTACAACGAATAAAACTACCAATCAGCAGAAGATTTAGTTTAAAACAGAAGTGAGGTGGGTATGATCTACTTCCTGTGTACAGCTATAAAGCAGAATGAATGAGGCACCAAACACAATGATGGAAAAAAATTTTTTGTTTTATTTTGAATTGTTTTGTATCTGTAATTTAGAGTTCAGCAAACATGTACAATTAAGAACTTTATTGAAAGAGTGTGAAGTTATAAAGTATTTCAATAAAACATATAGGGAGGGCATAAAATCCAAGTAATCTTTCTTCTTTATATTATTGATTATGCCCATTAAGCCACAAAGTAAAATAAAAGCCATAAAATAAACTGTCATTCAACTGAGTATGTGGTAATAATCAGTAATCAATATACACAGTTGAAGCCTCTCATTAGTGTCTGTGGAAAACAGAGCTGCAACTTTTATGCCTCCACTTGTGATGAAACTATTTTCTTTAATTTGTTGTTAGATTTAAGTATTATGCCCTCTTACGTTTAACAAAATAAAATAATTTAAACAGAACATTCTTCAATCTTTGAAAAGATGTTACCTTCACCACTATGAAAATCAAGTTCAATAAACAAGAAATTTGTGAATTGTTTGTGAAAACTTATTTTGGTAAAGTATGGTATTTTTAAAGTAGTACCCTAAAATACACATGTAGTATTAAAAGTATATCAAACATGAAGACAATTAAAAAGCACAAACATATTGCAGCCAAACCTCAAAGAAAACTAAATTATGAGGGAAAATAAGCCACCTCTGAAACTAGTGATAAAAATATGTAAGTACTTTAAATGTTAAATGGATAAATAAAAACTACCCTGAAGCCACCATCTGCAAATCAAAGACAAATACAAACATCCCATGTATATAATGTGTACTTAAAACATTTTAGTTTCTTAAATTTCAGAACTTGACTTTAAAATAAAAGTGAATAAAGCCCAATTAAATAAATCATTTAAATGCATTTTTAAAATATGTAAAACTTTATCTCTTATAATAAAAACCTCCCAACAGAAATCGAAGCATTCTGATATTAACCCTTATTTTAATTCATTCCCTTCTCCTCATAGGTATATTTAAATTGTGCTGATAAACACCTGTATTCAATAAAAAATATTACTTAAAGTCAGAGTTGAACAAAAACCTTCTCCCAATGATTTGTACAAGGTTGTTTCTGCACTTAGTCTAAAATTCCAAGTTTATTTCATAAAACTTTATAATTGCTGCCCCAGCTGGATTATGGAAGAGACTCTTCAGAAGCTGCCACATCTTCATTCTGCAGGCTATCATAAAAGGCAGATGCTTGTTAAAAGAGTTCAGAGCACACACAATAATAACAGAAGCATCATTGTGAACATTTACACTGCAGTAGGACATTCTATGAAATTATGTTGTTTTGGACACTAAAATAATTCATCTTTCAAAACCAAACACATAACCACTTACCCCACCTTATACTTAAGAAAAAATAAATAGTAACCGTTTGTATCAGTTTATTGATGATTATATCTAAAATTTTTCCAATTAAGCTAAAACAGAGACAAATTTTATCACACAATTTATGTAATTTTTGCTATTAAATGCAGTAAAAAGAAATACCTGTGGCCCAGAAAATTCGTTGTGTATGGACTTAAATTTCTTAAAATACTGCCTGTCATTTTCCACAGTTTGATCATTTGTCCTCTTGCAGTAGATTCTGATTAGTCTCTCTTCAAAATTTCCTGGAAGAAGATAAGATACCTAGAAAGAATGTAAGCAACAAATATTCCATTATGAAAAGCAAGACAAATGAGAGGAGAGGTTATAATGTAAATTCACTAGATTTTGAATGAAACTGATGCAGATTAAGCATCTAAAAAGTAAAAGATGCAAATTTTATTAGTTTCATCTTACTTCTTCTCTGGTCAGTGTGATGGCTTTATTTGGATCACTCTTTCGGTAGAAACGCACTTCCTCTATTGGGTCCTTTTCCTTCTTCCCGTAGTCTAGTTTACTTGTCTAAATAAGAATTAAATTTATATCAACAATAACATAATAACATAAGATAATAAATAAGATTGAATTACAAAAAGGAAATCTAAAGAAGAATTTCAACATAATTACATGTGTTTTTTTTTAATTTACTGTGTAGATATGTAAAGCAGTAAATCAAAACTTACAGCAACCACAAAGTCATCTTGCTTTGTGCCACCTGGTAGAGCCACCTGAGCTTTGATTTTCTTTTTTGAAAAAAAGAAGTAAAAGATTCAACATGTGGTCTGATATATTTGAAATTCCTCCATTTTGACACCAAGAATATGAAGCTCAATTGTCTTAAATTTCTGAATCTGTTACAAAATTGTTCGATGCCATCATTTTAATACTTCTCTCCAATAACTTTAGGGGCAAATTTTACTTAAAAACATATTCCCTCTCAATGATTGATGCTGTGGCACTAGAAATGTTCTTGGAAACTTAAACTATTACTATTACTATAGTGAGTGTAAACACATTTATAACTACCTGACTTATTACTTTTTATTCTTAATTTTATTTTTTTATAAACTCTTCTGTTAACTTACAGTGAAAATGTATACTTTAACTGGGATATTTATGTGATTTTTTTATGTAGTTGCAGTATTTCTGTGGTTACAGTTAAAATAAATTTATATGTTGTTATGTAGATATTATGATGTTGCAAATAAACAAGACTCTAACAAGTAATACAAAGACATGCTTATTATTCACACATTGCCAATCTTTTATAACTTGTATCAGGTTTATAGTTGAACAAATACTTACCTTGATTTCATCTTCAGATCTTTTTGAAGGAAATTCCCCCAGACACTTGTAGAGGTTCCGTTTAAGGATTTTGCCCAGAATCTCCTTTGCCTCTCTCATGTTCTGATTGTCATCATTCAGTATCTGCTCAAATACGTTATCTACAGGGAAGTGGGGAGATTAATAAGAAGAAATAAAACTCCTTTATTTATTTAGTCATTTAAGCATAAAGACACACAGAATAATTTATTCACACTTACTGCAAACTACATTTTTTCTATGGATTTGATTTATTCACACTAGCATGTTTACATAGTCTTCAAATCCAGTTGTAATCACGCAAATCTTTTTAAAGTCATTCAAATGTGACGATTGCTAACCTGTTAGCTTGGTGTAGGCCTCCATGTCATCTTTAGCTGTGAGCAGATTGAAGGTTTGTCCTCTAGAACCTTTAATCTGAATGTATTCATTTGCTTTCACAAAGGCCTCTGTGATCCTAGAAAAACAAAGTCAAACTGTCATTTTTAGTTATCCGTCATAATATATGTGAGTAAAGCTCAACTGCTGTACTTCTGTTATTTGACAAGCGATTTACATCCGTTCTATGATGTTGCCAGTTTTGTGCTGGTAGGCTCTTCTGTGCAGAGAGAACCTCGTGTAGAACATGTCATACAGATTGAACAATTCCTGTTAAAAAGTAAAATTAATTCTGGTGAATTATTTTCAAAGTGGATAAAGTTTTCAAATTCCACAAAGGCAAAAATAAGCAATAAAACCAAACCTTGTCTCTGAAACAGATCTCATTCCTACCCTTCCATTCACACACCCTGGCAGATAATATTAAGCGGCGATAGTCAAAGCTGTTCTTCATACCCAAATAATGGCAGTCTCTGATAAATGGTAGAAGGAAAAATATATGAAAAGATGAATTAATGCATATTGAAGAAAATTTCAATGGTGGAGGAAAATTACTAAAACTAAATCCCACCTGGCAAAATAATCCCACTTATCCACATCGATGCCATTCCTTTTGTTGGCCACAATGTCATAGAGGAACGACTTGTCCTCACCACGACCAGTGAAGGCCCATTTTAAAGCAGGGAGTAATAATAAAATTAATTCAACAAGACAAGGTTCTTTGCTCAGCATTCTGCTAAATCTGAAAATCTTCATTGAAACCGTGACTAATAAGACACATTTTCTGACATCATACATTTATAGTACATGTTTTCAATGCAGGAATGGTTTGGTTCTCCTTTGATAAAACTATTTTCTAAAATTTAAAAGGCATTTTCATGTTCATGAAGCTGATTTAAATAAACATCTTCTTACACTGAATAAGAATAAGAAGTATTATTTCAAATTTAATATGAATATGCTTTGATGAAAATCTCCTATGTGGTTGCTTTTGACAACCACAAATTAAAGGTTGACTTCAAATTATTGCTGCAGTTTAACAAGGCTGTACTATATTGGTGCAGAAGTTGAAATAAAATACAAAATGAGTTAAGTAAACGCTGCTACTTTATGTTATGTTATAATTCCGTCAAACCTAATCCTATAGACAGATTTTGGTTCAGGTAGAAATTGGTACCTTTTTCTCTTCATCAGAAATTTCTGGATTGATCAGGTCCTTGATGAACTTCAGATCCTTCTTTATTTTTTCCTTCAACATCTGTAAGGAGTCAGTCTCAAATCATTTGTAATGAAAACAAAGGCAATGCATCTTAAAAGGAAATCAAATTATGAACATATCTTTAATCAGAAAAAAACATTGTTGCTCTTTTATCTCTCATGTTGTGCCCACAACCTACATCAGGGCCGGACATAGGAGGGTGAGGACCCCTGGGTTTGAGCTAAGTTGAAGTCCCTACTTAATCATGGTTATACGGTTTCAGGTTTTACAGTAAAATGCACACGCAAACACACACCCACACACACACACACACACACACACACACACTTTGGGTGTGACTTACTTGTGGAATCAATCCTATCCACAAACCTTGTCTACCTACAAGGTCGCAAAATTCAGCCACTGTACACTTTTGTTCTGCCATGAGAAAGGGCTGATGGACAATCCCACCCATCAGGTCATCTCTCCATACAGGTTTTACAACAGTCACTCCATGGTGGACAACTTAGTGACTTTTTTGTTATATTTTGCACACACACACACACATGCACGCACGCACACGCACACAAAAATATTCAGCAAGTCAGGTTTTTTAAAGATCGGTGTTACATCATCAGAAATGTCTGGACTGTTCAGCTCCTTGTTGAACTCCTGATCCTTCTTCATTTCCTCATCCAACTTATTTTCCTTCACCATGTGGTCAAACATCTCTACAGAGGCAGTCTCATGCTGCAAGAAGCACACAAACTTTTGTAATGAAAACAAAGCCAATGCATCTTAAAAAGGAAATCAAATTATGAACATATTTTTAATCAGAATGAACAGGACATTGTTATAAATGCTCTGTTTTCTCTCATGTTTGGCAGAAAGTAGTTCTGTGCCCACAACCTACATCAAGAAAACATGTTTTATTGTAATCGGTTTTCTTTAGTTTACAGCAATTACATTTCCATTACACTGCTTTGTAATCAGATCAGTTAGTTTTCTTTAAGCATTGACTTCAAGTAAAAAGTTAAACTCATTCAGGATATATCAATGTTAGAGCACCCTGTGATAGAAAACAGCCATAGAGTAAAAACAACTGCAACAAATACATGCAGGGAAAATCTTTAGTTGTGGTAAAATGGCACCAACTCAATCAACAGTGTTAGTTTGTGTGTAAATGTATAGTTTTTCCCAATGTAATTGTTTCTGTAACTAATAGGCAATTAAAACAATTGGAAATCACAGATGGTCATATTTTAGAACATTTGAGCAAGACTATTTTTAAGCTCAATTTGATTTAACGATTAACCAGACCAACTCAGTGCCAATTTTGGTACTTAAATATATTATTGAGGCCTGTCCAGCTGATATTTACTCTTATTTACTCTGTCCCATTGCAGCACATATAAGGATCAATTTCTCCAAAACACAGAAGTTGATTTCACTAGACTTGCATATCTGGGCTGGTGTATGTTATAAATCATAGAGCAACTTCTATGATTCCATGTAATCTTTTAATGGCTTTATGACTTTTTATTTTACTAGGCAGAGGATGTAAATATGTCATCATTCAGTGAATATCAACCTTCAGACACTTATTATAACCAACACACAATAAAAGATTAGGACATTTTAATTTTCACATTTTTTTAATCTTCTGAGCAGGATTACATTTGAATGTTCTAATTGCAATGACAGATCAATATCTTAAGGCCAAATTAGTAAATTGTTTTTAAATAGAAAAATTACACTCATGCTTCTACTAAGCAGAATATGTAAAACCTTTTATCATCACTCAGAGAACAACAACCAGCAGACAAAAGTGAAGGTTGCTGAAGAAAAATCTAAAATAATTTCTTACTTTCCATTTCTGTTTGACATCAGGTTGCATTTGAGGTATAAACATGCCATCATACAGATGAGAAAAAGGTCCGTGTCCTGAAAAGGAAGGAAAATAGTCACCATAAATTTGTTCCAAGGTGAATCTTTAAAGGATTCTTCCAAATGAGCAACAAATTAGCAGCTACTGAGATGGACAACATAGACAGTTCCCAAGGATGGCATTAGAGTAGTGGTCTGCATGAACATCTTATTAAAATATAATTTACCCGTCAGTTGTGCCCTGAACAAGTATTATGTTGCTTTTAAGCATATGCATTGAAGTAAGCTTGATTTGCTTGCTGCTGAGGGAGACCAGGTTAAGTGTGTACCTACAGGACACCACTGTCTTTTATCCCTCCGATAATCTCAGATTATTGTTTTTATTTATTTACAAGTAATTAAAATAACTGCCGGTACTCATTTTAATTAGTTGTGGAGCAGCAGAAGGAGGGACTTACCCAGGGCACTATTAATGCAAAAACTGCCACTGTCAGCTATTTAGTGTAATTTCCCACAAAACTATGGGGGTAGCAGGATGTCCTTAAAATAGACTGAATAATCAGTTTGCTGCATGCAGTATTGACAGAAAAAAAATATTTTCTGCCAAATTTCCACCCATTATTTGGCAGAATATTCGAAGCTGAAGTCTCCATCCAAGCTTTCCCTCACAGACTTGTACCAGATCGGCAGCAACAACAATACACAAACACCTGGTGGAACTGTGTTTGCTGAGCTTATCATACAAACTACTTCCCATGGCAATGCTCCAAACACCTGTTGTTAATGGCGTAATGGGAAGGATTGTTATGATGACATACTGAAGGTAGAGTGTCCTAAAGAGTAAGAGGTCAATATCAACGCGAAAAGAGCAAAGTCAAATTTTTTTAAGTTATTTTTGATATGTACAGCATTTTTATGACTGAAGGTAACAGTTACTTGAATAAGCAATAAAATGGCACCATTTGCCTGGAAAATACACATTATCCCCTCTTTAACAAACTACTCAGCAAACATCACAATCTGCTTAATTTCTGATGCACATTGATCAACATTGCTTGTTTCTGCATAACTCACCCAGGTCATGGCAGAGTCCAGCAATCTGCACACAAAGGACATCACGCTCAGTGATTTTCAGTTCTGGCTGCCTCTCTCTCAGAGCCTTGACAAGTTCTCCAGCCAAGTAAGCCACCCTTTATCATCACATAACAAGACATCTTAATTCAGATACACAGTGACTAAAAAATACAGTTTTTTAAAACTAATATTGTAACAGATGAGCTTTAAGCCATTCAGTGTAAATATATTTTACCCAATGCTGTGTTCAAAGCGGGTGTGGTTTGCTCCAGGGTAAACATAACTGTTCCCTCCGAGCTGTTTAATGTTTCGAAGTCGCTGAAACTGAGGCGTGTCAATGATCTTGACGAGCAGAGGAGGCAGCTCTACACTGCCATGGATGGGATCATTAAATACCTGACAAAATGACAAAAAGAGGAACATCAACAAGGACATCCATGTAGAAACCCAACTGATAACCTAAATATCTAACTTTTTTACTGTTTTGTTAATTATCTAAATAGAAAATGTATTCATCTGTAAAAAAGAGGAATACAGGTGGATTCACAAAACTAGAGTTCATAAAGAGCTGAAAAGAAAGAGAGCAATCCTAACAGGGTTTTAAATAAATAAAGAAAAGCTTTTGTTCTCAAAAGAAGTTATTACAATCTTCTTCCACAAATGGGCAGTGGATTGCTTTTATTATTTTACAACACACAGTAATTCATTTTATAATATTTTTACAAAAGTTCCAGAGCTGTGGGCTGCAAACAAAGAAAAACAGAAATAGTTTTCTCCTTATATGCTCCTAAATACAGTCACATTTCATCTGCATAGCTTTAAAAGTTTAATCTAGGAATGTCACCCTTGGTTGGATAACGTCCTTTTCGCAAAGCTTGCTGAGGCTCTCCATGTTCAGCAGAATTTCACCAAGACACCTGAAATGAGAAATCAGAGAATTTATGACAAAATACTTTTCAAAATGAGAGAACTTCTTATTGTCTCTCATTTCCTCTTTTATTTGGGAGAAAACAACAAACATACACTATGATATTTCTCT